AATCTCTTGGCCTCTCTGAGCCTTGGGTGCTGTCCCTGGAGATGGCACACATCTCCCAGTTGACCGGAGGCTTCAGTACGTCCTGGAGAAGCAGCTGGCTGAGGCAGGCTCTTCCTTGGAGGAGCAGCTACATTGAATGGTTGACTTGTGTGCCTGGCTTAGGAAGCAGGGTGGGAGGGATCTGGTTGGGACACTCCCAACCCAGGATTCTGCCCGAGTGACTTCCACCTGAGAAGAGGCACCTGGCATCACTCCAGCCAACAACTGGGGCCTGGGGACAATTGCATTCCAGAGAGATAACCCTCAACAATTAACACACAATTATTAGAGCCAGCAATTAGGGAATCGTAGGGACTTAATTGTGTCCTCCTGCTCGGGGCCCACGGGGAACTCCCCGAAGCCATCCCCTCTGAGCCCTAGAGCCCAGGTTTTCCTCCTGCCAATGGGGCTCTGTGTGAATTTTTAAGTTTCAAGCTCTGCACAGTATACCGTGATTCTCAAAGTGTAGACCCCAGGTCAGCAGCATCACCTACATGGGAACTTTCACGAAAGCAGATCCTTGTGCAGTGGGGCTGGGGAGCCGTCCAGGTGACGTTGATGCCTGTGTAGGTTTGAGAGCCACGGGGCTATAAGGCCTCAGACTTTCAAAGCTCCATTCAATCTTTATTACCAGTAATAGTCATAGTAACAGCAGGAGTCCATGTGTAGAATCTCCCATGTGCCACCTAGTTCTAAGCGCCCGACATGCACTGTCTCATAACTGCTCATGAGACTGACGTGGTCATTACCCATTTCACAAATGACCACGCTGGAATTTGGCAGGTCACACAGCTGGCAGAGTTTGACCCAGCCATTGGGGTCTGGGTCCACAGCTTGAACCTCCAGGCTACCCTGAGGCCAGAGTCATAGCTTGAGCCATCGGGACCTGGAGGTCACCATTCACCTCACATTTTGGCCAAGGGAAAACGGCTTCACTGGCCTCAGTTTTCCCATCTGTAGAATGGGGCAAGAGCATCCCCCCCATGATAATGTGAGGGTTCCTTGGGGGTGACCAAGGAAACAGCTGGTACTCAGGAGGTATACATGGAACTAGGGGCTCCTCTTGCCTGGAGCTTGCAGAGGAAGAGGTAACTAGTCCATGCCTCGGTTTACCCATTTGCACCAAGGGCAGGAAGCCCTCTAAACCAAGGGCTCTCTCCCCACAGGATGGGTGAGATGGGTGTTCTTGACCTGGTGATGCAGTGGGGTATGGTGGAGTGTGCAGGTCCTGAGGCCAAGAGACTGGGCTTGTACGTGACTCTGCTAGTCACACTGTGTAGCCCTTGGCAGGCCACTCAACCTCTCTGGCCTCAGTGTCCACATCAGTCTAAAAGGGCTGAGCCTAGGTCTCCCCACAAGGCTTGAGAGCCAGCAGGCATGTGGGCCAGTTAGACAGGCCTCAAGCCTCACCTGTGTCACCTGCCCCCACCCCACCCCCACACTCTCCATCCAACCGCCAAGAATCTTCCAGGCATGAAACAATCTCTCGACTTCTGCCTTCTCATCCAAAAAATGAGCATTATCATTGGATCTGGAATGCAGGCGAGCCTTGTGCAACGCCAGCCTCTGTCATGTCCTCGGCCCGAGGGGTCAGGAGGGCAGTCCGCTGGGACTTTCCAGGGCTGTCTCCGGAAATGGTGCCTGGTTCCCAGAGCGGTTCCAGGTCCTTCACCAGCCCTGACTGGAAGATGACAAGATAGCCCGAAGAGATGACTCTCCCTTCGAAGACACAACAGGGGGCCCAGGAAGCCTGGGCTGAGGTGAGGGTTGAGGAAGCCACACTGACCTCACCAGGTCTGCTGACCGATAAGGTGGCCGAGGCTCAGCAAGAATGTCTCTGCCTGCCCCGCGCGCCCCACAGAGCCGCTGGCCTTGGCGCGGGGCAGTGGGGGGATCCTCCCGTAGGAACTGGCTCTGTGCCTCTCCTTCTCTTGGCGCCTTGGGGTTGGGCAGGGCTGGGGGCTCTCCACTGTCCTATGTTCAAGTCCAGGCTGTCGCCTCCCAGTTGTGGGCTGCGTCAGCTCTCTGCCCGGGGATTTTTCAGGTGCAAAGTGGGGATGGGCCTGGAGGACCACTGCCCTGCAGGGTACCCTGCAGGAATGGACACTCAGCCACGGCAGGGTTGCAGGGGTTGGACCAGCGGGACTCATCCTCAGACTCCGTCCCTGCCCTGGGCCATCGGCTGTCCCACAGCCAGCTACTCTAGGGCACTGTTTTGAGGTGGCCAGCCCGTTTATGCTCCTGTAGGCTTCCCTGATGTCTGAGTTCCGCTGTCTGTCCACTCTGGGGGTCTGGGGCCTGTTCCCTGGGGGTTGCCAGGCCTCCCGATGGGGAGTGTGGCCTTGTAGGTCCCCACCCCCGACTCCTAGCCCTGGGGAAAGACTGAGGCCAGTAGGGCTCAGACCAGGGGAGGAGGCCACAGAGTCAGGGCCTCAGCCTCCTAGGCCTCTGCCAAATTGCGTGCAGGGGCTTGCGGCCGCTGGGCCTAGCCACGGAGGGAGTGTCTGGTTGGATTCCAGCAGATCCACCTTCTCACCTGGGGACAAGCCCTGTCAATGGCCAGGGGTCAGCAAACCTGACTTGGTACTTTGGGGTTTGGGGCCGTGTGGAGAGGGTGTGACTTTCTGCAGGGAGATGAGGCTTAGAAACTGGTGCGTGGGAAGTAAGTGCAGGCTTTGGAAGGAGGCCTGAACCACGGTTCCCCAAGGAAGTCCCCCTCTCCCCGCCCAAATCGTTTTGCCAAGGTCCACAGGGCCAGGAACCAGTCTGAGATTTGTGAAGCATTTCCGGCTCTGGGATGGGGCTTCCAGAGCCACTGGAAAATGTCAACTGGGAACCACAGATGCTCGATCTGGGAGTAGCGGCTGGGCTGGGCTGGGGGCGGTGGGGGAAGAGAGTGGAGTCCTGGCGGAGAGAATGCAAATTGGTGTCATGAATTATGCATCAGCCCGGGCTTCTCACATATTGGGGCTGAATGAAATCATGTTTGCCTGGAGAAGGGGGAGGGGAAGATAGGACGAAGATGAGCAGGGCCTGGCCCCGGCAGTTGTCTTACTAGGCTTCAGGAAGGTCCTTGAAAAGGTGCCTGACCAGGGGTTGGGGGTATCTTCCTGAGGTCTGTGTTTTCGCTGTGTGACCTCAGGCCAGTGTCTCACCCTTTCTGATCAGTGCATTTCCTCTTGGACATAATCTGGTTGAGAACCTCAGCTCTGTCTCACCGTGAGTGTGAGACCCAGTTCATTTGTACAATTGAGAATGATCTAGGGGAGAATTGTTATTATTTTACAAAAGTAACAATGATGATCACTATGTGATTATTATTTACTCATTATTATTTATCAATGGCTTTGCACTTATTTTTCACGTGATCCTCACAACCATCTTTATGCCCAGTGGCTACTATTCTCCACATTTCACAAATGAGAGGGATGGGGCTCAGAGAAGTGAAGTGGTTGCCTAAGGTCACACAGCTGGGTAAGGGGCAGGGCCAGCACTGGATTCCGTCCTTCTGGCTGCTGGGTCGCTGCGTCGTGGTCCAGGGCAGGGGGTGGCTTTCCTGGCCCGCATCAGGTCAGTCTGGCTTCAGAGGAGAAGTGGCCTCTCTGCTCCTGAGTGGAGAGAATCGGGTGGCTGGCTGGGGCCTTGTTGGGGCTGATCAGTGTTGTTCCCAGAATGCCATGATGACGCGAAGCCTAGGAAAACCGCTGAGTTAGCACTCCCTGAAACGTGTGATGATTTCAGCTCAACAGAAAAGAAGCCAGTGTTCATTGAGCAACTGTTATATTCTGGGCCCTGTTTCAGGTGCTCCACAAGGGCGAACAGACCAGAATACTCTGGTGGTGGGGGCAGAGGAGTGCGTGACCCCTCTCTAAGATGCAAAAGTCGTTTTCTTCCTCTCCACTCCTTGTAGAAGAGACAACTCTGCTCTGTTATTTCAAGTCGAGGTCCTGGACATAATAAAAGGAAATAGTGCTTCCCTGATAGCTCATTTGGTAAAGAATCTGCCTGCAATGCAGGAGACCCTGATTCAGTTCCTGGGTTGGGAAGATCCGCTGGAGAAGGGATAGGCTACCCATTCCAGTATTCTTGGGCTTCTCTTGTGGCTCAGCTGATAAAGAATCTGCCTGCAATGCGGGAGACCCTGGGTTGATTCCTGGGTTGGGAGGACCCCCTGGAGAAGGGAAAGGCAACCCACTCCAGTATTCTGGCCTGGAGAATTCCATGGACTGTACAGTCCATGGGGTCGCAAAGAGTCAGACACGACTGAGCGACTTTTACATTTACTTTCGTTGGTAGGATGCAGCGGAACCCTCTTTTCAGTAGTTACTAAACTGCTACAAGCTAGTTTGGGATTTTGAAATAGTTCAGTTTCCTTTTATCATTAGGATTCCATCCATCCATCCATGCACCTATCTGGGATGCATGCCCCGTCTGTCTTCCCAGGGGTCCATAGGAATTTATGACAACAAAATCAGAGCAAGTGATCCCTCAAGCCCCGGAGGACCAGCGCTCTGAAGTGATGCCCTAGTGACTTGAAAGACAAAACCTGTGTGTCCTTGGAAGTGCCGCTCCTGCCTTTGCCAGGCTATGCAGTCCGCAAGGGGTGGGGCCGGGGGCTGGGCGCAGCTGCATGCCTGAGAACCGGATGGCCTGCTGCGTTGCTGAGGCCTTATCGCTTCTGTTTGGTGTCCCTAGTTATCTCCTCCGTGGGAGGCCCTTCTCACCCTGCCAGCTTCCACTCCCTTCGCGCCTGCCTCTTGTCCTCCCGCTGCCCTCATGGCCACTGCCAAGGTCACTGATGACCTCCTAATTGCCAGATCTGACAGGCACTTGGAGGCTCTTATCGCGGTTGCCCTCTCCCGGCATTGACGGGGCTGACCCCGCCCGCCCGCCTCCTCCGTGCTGGCTCCAGCTCTGGTCTGTGCTCCTGACCTGCTCTGCTCCCCGTCCCGGCGCCTCACCTCCGCAGGCATCCGTGATGTTCCTGGGACTCTGACTGCAGGCTTTCCTGGGGGTGCACACGCCCACGACCCCTCCCCACCTGGCAGCCGGTTTCACTAGTTCCATTTTACACTAAGTGAGGTTCTGAGAATTAAAATACTTGCCTAAAGCCACTTAGGAAGAAAGTGGTCCAGTGACGATGCAGACTCAGGCCTTGGGGACCCACCCAAGTCCCGAGACTGCCTCCCTGAGGGAGAAAGGTCAAGGGACGCCGTATAAACATACACAAAATCTGCAAAGTCCTGGTACTCAGGTGTCTGGCTGGCGATGAGGATTTTATGTCTCCATTTCACACTTGAGGAGATAGAGGCTGGGTGAGTTAAAGGACTTGCCCAAGGTGATGTGACAGTCAGGATTCGGAGCAGAAGGCTTCAGAGTCTGGGCTCTGGGGCCAGGGACTTTACTGGATATCCTGGCTCTGACACTTCCGAGCTGTGTGACGGTGGGTAAGTTAATCACCCTCTCTGCTTCAGCTCCCTCTTGGGGATAAGGCTGACTTAATCCTCAAATGAGGATCAGGTTTATGTGTCCTCATAGGTCATGGTGAGGATTAAATGAGCTTAATCACTTAGAAGAGCCCGGACCCGTGGTGATATTCAGTGTCAACTGTTATCCTTCCGGACTTCCTGCCACCCTGAAGGAGTTATGCTTTTTACCTTGTTTTGTTCTTCCTCATGCTGTTCTCTCGACCTGGAATGTTCTTCCTGCCTTATTCTTCTGGCAATTTCATGCTCATCTTTGAAAACTCTGCCCAAGTATCTTTTCCCCCAGGCAGAAAAGTGGTCCTTTGATGATAACCCCATCAGACCACATCAGGGGGGTGTCTGCAGCTGCAAAGCACAGAAGCCCCCACCCTCTTGGTGGGCTTATGCAGTGGGGTGCTCTGGGCCTCCCAGAATGACAGGTCTGGGAGCTCAGGGCTCTGCGGGAGACTCAGAACCTGGTCTCCACAGTTCCCTCAGCTTTGCCTCCTCGTGTGCTGGCAGCCCCTCTGGGCGGGAATGAGACTTCCGAGTGGCTCTGGGCTCCCTTGTCTGCAGGACAGTGGCTGGAAGAGGATGAGAGGGTCCCTTCTTTCTGGAGGAGAAAGGAGAAAGCGAAAGGAGCCAAGTGAACCCTTCCCTGAAACCTCCGTTCCAGCCTTCTCATGCCACATCTGGACTGATAACCAGCCAGGAGTGGGGTGCCATCACTCTTGGGGCATCAGCTGCCGCCCATTCCTGCCGGCCTGCTTGCAAGAAAGAAGACAGGAGTGGCTGATAGGTGGTGGAATGGTGGGTGCAGAGTCAGGGCAGTGGTGGAAGGGAGGATGGGACCAATGACAGGTGAGGAACGGGTGCAGGGTCTGCTATTGAATCACTTTCTAATTTCTGCTGGGTGTGTCTTCCTCTCTCATTGAACCCTTGAACCCTTTGCCCAGGGACAGTGGGCAAGGCTGGTTCTTTTCCTCTCTGACTCCCCACCCTGCACAGGTGCTTGTTTGCACGGGCACCCTCTTACTAAGTACTTGTGGGAGAGATCAACAGTGATCTTCCAGCTCATGGCTGTCAAACATTCATTCATTCATGTATTCAAAGCTGGGAGGCTTTTCTTCGACTGAAATACTTTTCAGAAACAAATACGAGGAACACACTTGTTGGGACAGCTTTGGGACCCCTGTCTGACACCCCTGGGGAAACTGACGCGGAGTATTCACTCCACAGGAGCAGGGCTCATGCCCTAGAATTCTTGGCGGCTCTTGCTTGCTCTGTCTGGCGTCCGCTAAGAGCACTGTGCCCCAGAGATGGCCATCGGAATCTGGCAGAAGAGGTGGGCTCCACCGGGTGTCTGGTCAGTGGCCACTGAACGAGAAATGGGGCAAGCTCTGCTCTTCCTTGGGCTGGGGCGCGGACGCCCTCTGGGAGCTGCCACTTGGCTCTGACCCCCGTGGGTTTGCCTGGATGCTGATGCTGAGGCTGTGGTACCCAGGCCATTCTGTGCCCCGGTCTGGGTCCAGCCCCTTGGCTAAATGGGGGCAAATCATTCCTAGGCAGGAAGTCATCCTGGGGGCCTGGTGTGTCTGGGCCAGACCTGAGGGGACTCATCTGCACCAGATGTTTGTATCACCTTCTTCTGACATTAGCATTTCCCAACGTTTATTTTTCTCTTTGGAAAAGACTAAACTGATTGGAAAAGACCCTGATGCTGGGCAAGATTGAAGGCAGGAGGAGAAGGGTTCGACAGAGAATGAGATGGCTGGATGGCATCACCGACTTGATGGACATGAGTTTGAGCAAGCTCTGGGAGTTGGTGATGGACAAGGAAGCCTGGTGTGCTGCAGTCCATGGGGTCACAAAGAGTCAGACACAACTGAGCAACTGAACTGAACTGATTTTTTCTCTTTAGGGTCCTTGGAGGTCCTTTCTGGAGCCAGCGAGGCTTGTGAGAGAGATGTGGGTGCAGCTGAACCTGGCTCAGGTCCGGGAATGGGAGCAGAGAGGATTTGTCCCCACATGGTGTGTCGCTGCCACTATGACTTCCTGCAGGCGATGTCCAGATACAAAGCAGCCCTGCTTAGGGCCGGGGTCTCTGCCCAAGCTTTTCAGCATGGGGTGGTGGGTGCTGCGGGGAGACTTGCTATGTTGGGGAGACCTCTCTGCGGGTGGGTCGAGAACTGCCCTGAGTCCATAGGCTCTATTGGTGGGGTGGCAACTGATCACTCTTCGGGTACATGGATGTTTATCTTCTTTAACAAATGCACATATGCATTTAATACACACTTTTGTGTGCATAATATAATTTCACAAATAAAGTGATAGAAAAAAAAGTGACTTACTGCTCTCTAAGCAGTCCTCAGGCCTTTAGCTAAAATGCCAAGAAGGGGGTGGCCTCACTCCTCCCTTCCCCTCTGTCCCTCTTCCCCTTGCAGACGCTACTGGTTTCATGCTCAACGTTCATTCTCTGTGTCTTCTTTTCTGATAGAAACCTGATTTATTCTGGGTGGCCAAGTTCCCAGCTCAAGGACCACAGCTCCTGTCCCCCTTTATAGCTAGTGTTGACTAAGAAGACATGAAAAGATTTGCTGGGGCCACTCAGCTGGAAGCCACGCTCTTTAGCATACTGCCTCTTCTGTCCACCCCAGTTTGTTCTGCTTCTTGCCTGGAATAAAGATTGATGGCTGAACTCCAACAGCCTCTTGGAACACAAGGCAACCTTAAAGGTAGAAGCAACATTGAGGTGGCAGACAGAAACTGGGAGAAGTCAGGAGTCCCTGAAGACTTTGAGGAGCTGCCCTAACACTTCTGGATAGCCAGCTCAGGACTTCTTTCAATGAGAGAAAGACAAACATCTATCTTGTTTAAGTCATTTCCATGTGCTTTCTGTTTGTGGTAGAATGATTATGAAAATGGCTGTCTTATCCACTCCTTTCCACACAATGTGGTGTGTCTTTCCAGTTCCTTGCTCAGAGGTGCAGTTGGCTTCCTCACCCTTGGAATCTGGGTGGGGCTTGTGGCTTGCTTTGGTCAATAGTATGTGGTTGCGGGGTGGGGGGGGGAACCATGAAACAGTTGTGAGCTTAGGTCTCAAGGCCTTACAAGCTTCTGCTCACCTTCTTGAAACCCTGTCCAGCTAGTTTTCTGGGGGATGAGAGACACATGGCTCAGTCCCCATCATTTTCCTAGCTGACCACCACCAGTCCCCGGATGACCCATTGGTGATACCTAACCACCTGCCAGGACCAACCTACAACCTGCAGAGGCCAGAGGATCTCCCCACTAAGTCCAACCCACATTACTGACCTGCATGACCTTGGGCTAAATAAGTGGTTGCTATTTTAAGCCTCTGGGTTTGTTATACATCATTAGTTAAATGATGCAGTCATACCCACCACCTTTAACCATCAAAGATGCAGTGAGATGTCCAAAAGGCAGCTTTGCCAATTTCTGTCACCACTAAGCCTCCAGCTACATCTCCCTCGCTCCATTTCTGCCTTCCTTCTCTTCCTTATCTGTTCTTCTCTGCCTTTCATCTACTCATAGCATCACAGAATCTCAGTGCGGAGAAGCCCCTTCTCATTTAGTTTGACTTTCTGTTTGCCCACAAGAGGGAATGTCCCTAGCACATGTGATCACACCCCTTTCCATGTCTTCTATAGCTGGGGGCCTATTGCAAGGCCAGGAACCTTGGGGAAGAGTTGGAAAGATGTCTGCTCACCTGAGAACCTCCCAACATCTGTGAGCTGGAAGGCACATGACTGCTAAGATCTGGCAAGATCCACTAGGATTGGCAAGATGAGCAGAGAAGCAGAGGTGGACAATAGGGAGGGGTGTGGTCTGTGGTGAGCTGTGCTGGCTTCTCCACTGTGGATGGCTATTATGCACCTACAGCAGGTAAATGCCTTGGAGGACTGGGAGATTCTCAACAGTCACGTAATTCTGAAATGTCAGCAACTAGTATGACTTTTTAAACGTTATTTGTGGACCACAGTATATCGGACAAATCAAAGCTGCCTAAGCCTTTAGGTCCAAGGTGTGTGACTCTGATCCAGCATCTGATCAGCCTCGACCTCCCCAAAAGTACAAGCACCCCAGCCCCAGTGCTCAATGGCCCTGATGGCTGACCTCAGCCCCCGAGCCCAGGACCCTGGGCTGAAAGGACTATAAACCCTCTAGGGGGCCCACCCACAGGCCTGGCCCTTCTCTGTGACCTGCCTTGGCCAGAGCAGTCTTTGTGAAGAGGTGTCCCTGGCCATCCACTGCCTCCTTGTTATCCTCCCTGCTTTCCTCTTGGGATGTAACCTGGCTTCAGAGCGTCTTACCTCTTTCTTCAGAGCCCGTATGAAACCTCCCCAAACCCAGAGCACCCAAAGTTGTGGAGTCAGATAGACCTGGGTTCCGACTCCAACTCTGGGTCACCTCGGGATGTTGTGTAACCATGGGGATTGAAATGCAATCAGGGTGGTGAGCGGGACACTTGAGCATTTGCTGAGTGGATGGCAGCTGTCTGGAGAGGTTCAGAAGGTGGGTGTGGGGTGCCTGTCTGGTCACCTGTCCCAGTCCAAGGGCATCCCCTGGGTTTGTTCATCA